TTTCAAACATTATTTTTTTGTTTAAATTAGTTATAAGAAGTTATAAGTTCTTGAATTATTTTTAAAAAGTCACTCAAATACATCTTTAGAACCTATTTTTCCTATTAAATTTGAGTTGTTAATATTAGCCATCGAATTAATTTTAAGTAAAATTTAAAAAGATCTCAACCGAGAAAAGCAAAAATAATTTTATTTTTTTTTAAAATTTGAATTATATTGTACTATTATTTAGATATATCAGCCTAATTATCTATTTCTTTTGCAAATACAAAATATCTTTTTCTTAAGTTTAGTGGGTCACGGTTGTTGATGTGGTAGAAGGTATAACGGGCGGTATCTTCCGACTATATTAGGCCGGTATTCGGCCTTCCCAGATTTAAGCTCTTGGCTTATAGCTGATTTAGTTCTTGGGCTTCCTCCCAACTATATTGGGCTGGAGTTTGGGCTTTCTCCCAGATTTAAGCTCTTGGGCTTCCACTCACATGCAGTTGGGAGGCCGAAATGTCGGGACAGGGTGAAAACCTTCCGTACATCCTTGAAGTGTTGGTTTTTATATATTTAGATATGGATATAGATCCACATAGAGATCTATAGACAAATTGGGCTGGTCTGAGTCATGTGTCATGCAAACCCATACGAGGAACGGATCAATCCCAATAAAAGTTGAAAAATTTGGCAGTCAGTCATTCTTATTTGAACTTAAATCTGTCAATAAAATTTATTTATTATAAAATTTATTTTTTATCAATTTTATCAGACTATCCCTTCCATTTAGAAGTGAAGTAAAATTAAAAATTAAAAACTCCAAAATTTAAGAGTTTAATTAACATTAAATTTTTTTTCTCTCATATCTATCTATATTCATATATAAATTAGGACTATATCTCTCTCATATATATAGTAACATTAAAAATAAAAAATAGTAACATTCAAATACAAAATTTTTTATCATTTAAATAAATAATAATAATACCATTTAAACACAAAAAATAGTAATATTTAAACATAAAAAAATAGTAACAATTAATATTAAAATTTTATAAAAAAAAATAACAATAGTAAAATATTCAACAAAAATTATAACATGCTTAACAAAAACAATGACATGCTTAACAAAAATTGGTAACATACTCAACCAAAAAAAAATAGTAATATGGAACATTGAATAAATTGAAAATAAAAATAATAACATAAACTCATAACCAGAGAAAGAAACCTCCAATTCTTCAGCATCTAAAAAACAACACTGAAAAAATAATAACATCCTCAATAAAAAATAGTAACATAAACAAAAAATAGTAATTTGGTGAATTAGAAAAAATAGTAACCTGATCAACAAAAAAAATAGTTACATGTGAAACATTAAAAAAATGTGGGAATTATTTATAAAAAAAATAAAATAAAATTGGGGATCAAATTAATAACACATTAAGCAAGTTTTTCAACCTTTTTTTTTTTGAAGACCAACGACATAGAAGTTCATGATGACCAGAAAGCAATAGAAGATATGATAATTATTGATGATGTTCCAAACCTTACTGATTTTGATGCTACAGAGAAAGAAATGATATCCAAAGAGATAAATTTGTTATACTAGAGTGATGATCTTCTTCTAACGAGAGAGAATATAAATTTTAATTTCAATTTAAGAGTGAGTTAAAGGATAATAATTTTTAATTTAAAAAATTAATTTACAGTTACTTTCAAGGTTTTTATAATTAAACACGATAATACTGTTAAGAGTATTTTTGAGATTTAAAAAAAATAATAGATTTAAGTACTTATTAGTAACATAAAAAATAGATTTATCCCAAAATAAATTTTTTTAGCGAATTCAAATTATTATAAGTCCACGAGGACGCAGTCTCAATTTTTACATAAAAGCTTCACAAAACACTGAAAAATTGTATTTGGTATGGTGGTGTTTTTTTTTTTTTTTGGGTGGGGGGGGGGGACTTATTTAGATAGTTTCAAATCTTCCATGTAGATAATGCAAATCCAAGAACAGAGCCTTATCTTAAACTGGTTCACCAGCGAATCAAATGTTGACTTTAGATAAGGATAACTGGATTGACTTTCCAGACCCAATTGGTGAATAAGTTGATTTGAGCTCCACAGTACTTGACTTGTATTTAATTATGTGCAATTGTACATAATACAGACCCATTTTATATACACAATTATTTTTTTGATTCAACGGTTAGGGATGTTCGGATTAATTTATGCGCATTTCGATTAATTTTTTTTTTAATCTAGTAAAAAATATACCATCTATGTCAGGATTAGGATATTCATAAGAGGTAAATTTCTCATGATTTGACCTTAAGAGTTACCAATATTTAAACTCAAAAACGTTTGAATTTATGGCTCTATCTTTCTGAGTAAACAATTTGTTTATGAGTAAGATATTCACAATTTAGTGATGTTTACTACCTTATACTGGGATAGGCCAAACACACAGACGCACATGTTTCTAGTATTGCAATACATGCATATAATTACATAGTTGGCACAAGCATCACATGCATGACATACTTTTAAGTAGGTAAGGAAGACCCGTTGTGCTTCAATAGAGAATATGGTACTGTTTATTAAAAATTATAATTTTTTAAAATCAAGTTAAAATTTTTTGGTGCATAAATTATAAGTAAAAATAGCATGACTGATCCCAAAATATTATTTTTAATCATAAAAATTACAATTTTTTAAAAATCAAGATAAAAAAAAAATTACTATTGATATAATTCATAATTGATTAAGAACTACTTTAAACAATTATAACTTTACATTTATAAGACCTAACTCGGTACCGCTGACTAATATTATTATTTTAATCATTTTAAATAATCACCTTTTGAATTGCTAATTTCTTATAATAGTTAAATTCATTTATCTTTAATATATTATTATTAATTAATAATATCAGATGTTACTGAGAATATGTATCCGTGTGTGGGCTCATCTACCTCCACTAGGGCCCGCCTACCGGTTGGGTGAGGCCTTTGGGCCTAACTGGGTTAAAGGATGAGGCTATCCGACATCGGATAGCCTGGGTGTGTGTGCGCGCTGTATAGAGACTATGGAAAGTGTAGATACTCTAGTTCTCGTTGATAAAAAAGAAAAGAACCAGTTCAGACAGCTCAGACACTGACTTTAATTGCAATCTCGGAACTATCTCTCTCTCTCTACGCGCAAACACACACCCCTATGGCAGCCGGCGGGCCGCCCCATTTTTTTTTTTCCCATTAAAGACTCCAAATCCAAGTGAAACACCCCCATCGAAAACTGCCACCCATTTCATTCGCTATTCTGTCGTATTGTTTCATTGAAACAGAAAAAAAAACAGACTTTCTTGTTGTCTCTGTCTATGTTTCTGTGAGAGCCTTATTTGGGTTGCGATGGATGCTTTTCGTTGGAGTTATCAATGTGTTTGAGGCTCAATTCGCTCCATTTCTTCCACGAACTAGCTGCCTGGTTTTCCATTTCCCTTCAATTTTGTCTGAATCTGGTGGTCTTGTGATAGGCGTGGGGACACCCATTTGGTCTTTGAAGCGAAAGAAGAGAAAATAAGTATGGCTCTACTCCCATCAGGGTATTTTCTTGATTCTTATGTGGGTTTCTTATGATTGAATACATACTCTCTTTTCATATTTAATTCACCTTGTGTTCAGGAATCTGGGTGATGATAATAGCGGCTTTCCTTCCGACAAGGTCTGTTCTTTAATTGACATTGAGTTAATCTTATTATAGGTAGTTTCTATATATATATATATTACCCTCTTGTCTTATGATGGTAATACTTGGTTTCTTTAAAATCTCATTATGTTTTTGTTGTCGTTTTTTATTCTTCTTGTTCTATCAATTGTTTTGGTTCAATTGATGTTTGTGTAATTTGTTTTTTGGGTGCAACGTATGATGTGTTGTATTATATGATTGTAAGTGTCTAATTTCGCACTTGTCGTGGTATGCATAAGTTGGTTCGGACACCGTTGAACTCTAAAAAAAAACTAATGATGAAAATTTTCTAGGGTTTCGATATGTTCATCATTCAAATAATGAAAAGCTGGCATTTTTTATAGTGTCATGGTTTTTTTTGTGTCATTATAACTTATTCTGATGTTGCTAAATTTAATTTTTTGGTCCCTGGCAATGCATAAGTTTATTTGTCATTCTGTATATTACTTTGTATGATGGTATCATCGTGCCTCATGAATGTATTACAATACTTTGAATTGAGTACCCAGGAATTGACAGTTTTAATCCATTTTCATTGGTTGATTTTTGTTAATTTTTCGAATTTTTTGATCAAATCTCTCGACCAAAAGATATATGCAAGTTTGTTGTATGCCAAGTTTCTTCTTCTATTTGGAAAAAAAACAGCCATTGTTGAGATGTGCCGAGCCAGATAACATTGAACTTAGATTCCAGTGGCAGTGTTCTAAATATTTAGCCCTAACCCTTCACATGCTATGTTTTCAATTGGTTGCACAAAGTTCTATTATAAAGTTGATCTCTTATGACATGTTTAATGTTATAACTAAGGTGCAAGTAAGCATGTAAAGGTGTTCGTTCGTTGTTCAAAAATGGCCTTTAGCAATATGAACTCCTTCCTGCCTCTGTATGTTCTGTATTTACCTCATTTAAGATGTATCCACTGTCTATCAGGATTCCTTAAACTTGGCAATGGAAAGAGGAAAATCCTGGTCTGATGATGGATATGAGCTTAATAGGAGGGGAACAGGTGTGTTCCATCCGCATATCAAGCTAACTGACATAGTTGATAAAGAAAACAATCATATCCCCATTGATCGGATCCTACCTGATGATCTGCAGGAAAAAATAATCGCCTCTCTCCCATTAGAGTGCATTTTAAAAGCATCTTGTGTTTGTAAAAAGTGGAATGAAATTGTGCACTCGAAAAAATTTATGTTGAACATCTCAAATGCTTTAGCACAGAAACCTTGGTACTTCATGTTTACCAGCTCTGACGAACCCATTGGGTATTTCTATGATCCTTTGTTAAGCAAATGGTACAGCTCTGAACTCCCTTGTAGTGTAAAGCATAATTATTATATTGCTTCATCTTGTGGTTTAGTGTGCTTCATGGATAATTATAGCAGGAATGAACTATATGTTTGTAACCCGCTTACTAGAAACTACAAGAAACTGGAACTTTTGGGACAACCATTTTTGGGTTACACAGCCCTTGCATTTTCAGTGGACTGGCCATCACACAGTTATACTGTTGCCATTGTAGGATCGGAGCATGTTTTTGATGATGAATGGGCTATTTCAATTCACATATATACTTCAAATAAAATGATTTGGCTATCTCCCATGAAGAAAACTCTCACCAGGTGGAGAGCAGGATACGATAGTATCATTTGTGATGGGGTTTTGTATGTCCTTGTTTATTATACTGGAACAGACGAGACTGAGGATCACCATGCTTTGTTAACTTATAATCTATATACCCCATCATTCCAGGATATGTCAATTTCTACTAGAGTCCCAGTTCCTTGTTTTGTTACTTGTGGACGGCTGTTGAACCTCGATGACAAGCTTGTGATGGTGGGAGGTATTGGGAGACAAGATCGACCAGGCATAATAAAGGGAATTTGCATTTGGGTTCTTAAAGGGAGGGAATTGGAAGAGGTATCTCGTGTGCCTTATAAGTTATTTCAGGGATTTGGAGAGATAGATGATGTTTTTGCTAGCAGTGGTGCTGGTGACCTTATATACGTTCAGAGTTATGGAGCAACAGCTCTTCTTGTGTTCGACATGACCTTGAGACAGTGGAGCTGGTCGCGGAAGTGTCCTGTGATTAAGAAGTTTTCTCTTCAGCTTTTCTCAGGTTTTTGCTTCCAACCGCGGCTTGAACTTTCTTCCTAATTGAGCATCTTCACCTTTTGATTTTACAAGGTGGTGGTGATAATTTTTGCTAAAGCTCTATTTAGTCTTATATTTTTCCCAGCATTAAAGAAAATGTCATTAATCAGATTTTTAGTAACTGTTTTCGTATGATGATAATCTTGAACCTTCTTCCTAACGTTTTTCATTGCAGTTTAGCAAATGGGTCACCCTGAGGCTCATACTATACTATCTTTTGCACTCCAATCTGCTACTGATTTTGATTTTAGACAGAGAGAAAGAGGACTTAATTATCATTTTATGTGGTTTTCAAACGTTTTTTCCAAACTACTGTTGTTTTGATAGTCAAAAACCTTTGAAATTGTGTTTTCAAGACACGCCTTTGCATTAAAAAATGTGTTTTGAAATTACTTTTCTTATGTAAATAAGTTTGACACAACAGTATTTGAATAAAAAAGTTTTAAAAAGACTAGAGAATGATAATTAATAAGTGTGTGAAATGTTATCAGAACCGGATCGGTCATCGAATTGGCTAGAAGACTGGGTCAATGGTTTACTGGTTTAACTGGTACATCACTAGTCGGACTGGCCATATAATAAAAAATATATATATAATAATTATAAAATATAATAATTTAGCTAACAAATACAAAATATGTTTAAAATGTATACAATTTGTCATAAAATTAATGAAGTTGTCATATAATTAGTAATTTGAAATCAAATTTCTATCAGAATAATAATTAACAAACAATCTTAAGCAAAAACATGAACTATTTCTCCAAATCACAGCCAAAAGGGCAAAAAAAAAAGGAATATAACCTGAATAAACCCAGTCAAGAAGAGCACCACGAGGCTGGTGAACAAGATTGGTCTTAGATAGCTGAAGTCCTTGCCCTTCTTAGAAGCCAGAAAGTGTATCCAGTCAGAGATGCAACCATAGCTGATTTCAAAATTAAAGCTTCGAGCACAATTCTTCCTGTTTATTCCAAATAGAAAAAGATATCAACAAGCAAATTTACAAACTTGATGAAGTGCTGCGCAGGGAAAAACCCCCATGAATATATGGAGGTAAACAAAGAAAATCAAACCACTCTATAAACAATGACTTTAAAAGAAAATCACATAGCCCATAAAAAAACTCAATATCAAATTTAAAATCTTTCCAAATTAAACTCAAATCAAGAACATCTTGCTTGAGTTCGCCTGTTTGCAGTGGCTGATTGATCGCAATGGATGATAGAAGTCGTTGTTCGCTGGAGTCGCCTTCTTTTGGATTGTTCTACAATTTAGGGCAATAAAAATATCTAAAAGCTTGAGTTTTTAATTTTATGTAATTTAATTTTTGACTTGGCATTAAACCGGCCAGTTCACGATTTTTTAAAGAATCGTCCATTTTTTGATTTTTAGCCGGTTCTCTTCTTTAAGCGGGTTCAATTACGGAACCAGAACTATCAAGGTCCTGGTTCATGGTTGAACCGGTTCGACCGGCCGATCCTGTCCGGTTCTGATAACACCGAGTGTGAGAGAGAGAGAGAGACCAAAAAATAATAAATTAACCATAAGACTACATTAAGATCAAAAAGAAAAAAGGTAGTTAAGATAAATGTTTTATTAAATAAAATCCCAAGGACCATAAAACACGATTTCGTGAAATCACAATTATTAAAAAGATAAAAGGTTACTAATTTGTTAAATTGTTGATATAACATGATTTGTCAATACAAGAGAAACATAAATCAATTTCATTTATTGTTTGGTTTTTTTTTTTTCCTGATTGTCAATACTTTCATAATTTTTTTAATAAAACATCACGGTATCAAATTTATTTCCAAAACTATCATTCTTTCAGCGAAATTGTATTTTTGAAACACAAGTTTCAATAAGTCAATTCGATAGTCTCAAATAAATTTATTTAACGGCTACCAACATCCCTTTCAAAATTATTCATATTGGACCGTGTCTTCAGGCACAAGTTACGGGTTACCCGCTACTAAAATCATACTTTTAAAATACACTTTTTAATATAAAAACTTGAACTCAGTATTTTCAAAACACATATCTACGTTGAAAGTCATGCTACAAAAACACTCTTTTATTGAAAGATCAGTAGTCTAATAAGTGAATTAAAAATTAAAATATTTTTCTAAAAGAATTGTGAAAAGATGATGGAATGAGAATTAATTTTATTATTTTTTACAACCGTGTAACCAAAATAATAAAATAAAAATTTGTACGAATTACAACTGGGCTACAGCTATACCCCTCCTTTATGAGGAATATATGTCCTCACTAATGATTCAATCGCTTCCACCCTTGAAATTTCTCTAATGACCTTTCTCTAAGGACGCCAATAAATAAACATAAAAGGAGGTCAAATAGTAATAAAAATGAATTATAAATTCAGATGTTTAAAATTTAAATTTTGACAATTCTTTTAAATTCAGGACATGAGAAATTTAATTCCTCGTAAATATTCTAATCTCACCATGCATGACCTGTCTCTGACTAGACCGGAAAGAAGATTAATCGAAAGGTGCCTGTAAATTGACCCGATCATCTCTAACCATTGAATAAAAATACAAAAGACAATAAAGAAGGAAATACACCACGAACACAAAATAGTACAAAAATTCAATGCACAAGAGTCTGCAGAAGAAAGAAGAACACGCTTTGAGTGATGGGTCATCTTGAAAAACGAAATTGAAATCCAGAAGGAGAACGCAAACGTGTATGTTGAGAGAGAGAGAGAGATGAAAAGTGTAGAAACAAGTGGGGACACATGAGTGTACATGCCAGCAAGCAATGCTTTCCACACAATTGCATCAGGTTCCACAACCATTTCATTGAGTAACTCCTTGGCTTCACGCATCTTTCCTGAGCAGCCCAAAAGGTCAATCGTACATGCATAGTGATCAGGACCTGGTTTTATCCCATAAACTTTATCCATGGATTCCAAGTAGTGGTGCCCATGTTCAGTAAGACCAGCATGGCTGCGGGCGAATAGCAATAGCAAGCCAATAAAAGTAATAAAGTGAGGTTTTGTGCCATTCGCAATAATCTCATCATAGAACTGTAGAGACTCCTTCTCTCTACCATTTAGAGCATAACCAATTATAACAGCAGTCCAGTCCAGTTAACCACATTTGGCATTTGCATCGAGTCAAAAATTTTATTAACGGCTTCTAGGCACCCACAATTTGCATATATTGTCATGATCGCGTGAATTGTTGACTGATAAGGATGCACCAGAGCAAAGTTTGATAGAACTCCCATGAACTTGTAGCCCAAATTCCAAAACTGTCAGTTCCACACATGAACTTTATATGCTAGCAATGACAATTTGTTCAGGATCAATCCCTGCGAATTGCATTTCAAAAAACAACTTGAGGGCTTCCTCACGGGAACTATTGTGGGCATAGCCAGTGTGACAAGGTGGGTCCATGAGATCACATCCTTGTCCACCATACTATTGAACACCTCAAGTGCGCAATCTAGGTCTCTCAATTTTGCATATATACATATCTACTACAGCATTGTTTATGAGCTTGTAACCCAGAAATCCAGTTTTAACAACCAGTGGACAGATTTTGCATTTTCCATATCCATTTTGGAAGCACGACAGTTTAGAACTGAAGGGTATGTAAAATCATCAATATCCATATTTTTCACACATTTTTTGAGACAACGACGTGCTTCCTCTTCCAATCCCTGTTTCACACACCCAACAATCATGGAGTCCCAAGAAACCACATCAACCTCCATGGCCTCCAACACTCTCCTAGCACTATTCAAGTCTCCACATTGTGCGTACATGTCCACTAATGCACTTCAAACAAACACATTAGTCCCAAAACCACCCTTAGTGATGCAGCCATGCACCTGCAACCCAAACCCAAGAGCAGAAACGGCTGCACAAGCTGCCAACCCCTTCTGCTCTCATGTCTTGAAAACACTTGATTGCTTTGTGTAAGTCACCATTTTGAGAGTAGCCTAAGATCATAGCAGTCCACGTAATGTGATTTTTCCCATCAGGCATCATCCAAAGAGAAACTCAACTTCCTCAATGCGCATACATTTGGAATACATATTAACAAGCCCAGTGACAACAAAAACATTTCCATCAAACTGGATGTTAACAGCATAAACATGAATCTGTTCTCCCCTTGTGAGCACTGTATTCATTGAACACATTCTAAAAACACTAACCAGTTTACAAAATTTATATACTCAGTAAAACAAAAGTTGAATACTCATACAATGTCATTTTTTTGCCGTAATTTTATCCATTAAAAAATAATAAAAATACATTATATTAGCATTTACAGTCAAAGAATTTCTAGCAGTAATATCCGGCTTATCAATCTTTTACCATGCCCCCATGGCAACAAGCAATAAAAAAATCAATCTATTTAATTGAGAAAAAATCCCACTACATAAAAACACTCCAAGGACCACAATCAAGCACTTTACATACTACATATGCAGATCAACATCTAAAAACATAATTATAGTTTTCCTAAAAAAAGGGCATTCACCCACATGTCCATGCCCTAATCTATATCAACATCATCATTGAACACACCAACAATAGAACAACGAATAAACAATATAATTATCAACTAGGACTTTGGCTTTGGTGTTTGAGCGCGTCAATCAACTATTTATTAAATAGAAAAACTGAGAGAACAAAAATTACTTTGGAATTTAGTCTGATAGCCAATAATATTGAACAAATAATAAACAGAAAATGTAACATGGCCCGTACATTAAATAGAGAAAAAGCAACCAAATAGTAAAAAAATTGTCTTTGGATAACAAGCTAAATCAAACGTTCCTAATTTCCTTGATGCTGAATTTGATCAACCCTTAAAAGCAAAAGCAATGGTGTCAGAACAATTCAAGTTAAATCATTTATCATTATGGACGTTGGGCTGTTATAGGTTGAGTGACTGGTAGGTTGGACGTGTACATAATTAGACATCTCCAAGTAGATGTTTAGCAAAATGAAATCATGTTCAAAAAATAGAAGACACTATGAGAATAAAGATATTTATTCAGCTGATTTAACTGGTCCAACATCAAGGAAATAAAAAACAAACAAAAATTATCATTTAGATTAGACCGACAAACGGGGAGATAATAAGTGTCCAACTAGAATAATAATATTTCACCCCAAACTCTTTTCCCAAACAATTCCTACCAAGGTATCAACCATGTGGAATAAACCAAATCTTGAAGTTCTAGAGAAACTGACAATATACAACATGAAAAAAGTATTACCTCCACCCAGGCCATTGAAGAATGAGTAGATTTGTCCAGAGGCTTAAATAATGTAGTCAAATATTATTGAGCAGAAATTGTTTTTTGATCCAATCTCTCACATTTGAAGAAAGAGAGTATCAGCGTTTTTTTTTACGAAATTATGAGAGATCTTTTTTTAGTAAACTGAATGACTTATTTCTTCCATCTTCTTCAGTTGGTAGGCCATCCATCAACTCTACCCTTTTCTTACTTCATTTTTTTTTCGTAGTGCTTCTCCCCCCTTACTCAACATAGGGACCCCAAAAGAACTTTCCCAATTGTCTTAAGTCAAGAAAACACTGTCCCCAAAAAAAAGTCAAACTACCCATCATGCAACTGTAGAAGTTGATCCTATTGATGGAAAAGCTTTTAGTAAGATACTCTTGGTTGGATATGCACAATTCAAACTAGCTCGTGGAACTCTCATAACTGTCAAAGAAAATAATTTTATAGAATTGGAAAACAAAATCCAAGGGTTACTATATGCAGTTAGCAACTTATACACTTGAGAGGGGAGAAGATGAAGGAGTCTGAGGTGGTGGGGTAGAATTGCTGAACAACTTTTGCGAAGGATTGGAAATATTGTCATAATATACATAGTTAAATGGAAACATTCCTTTTGGGATACCAATGTATCTTTTTGCAAAACTAAAGGTGGAAAAGTTTACTTTCTTTAGTGACTTTCTCGTACCAATCTCTCGCGCACGTAATCTATTCCTTTGAGTGAGCAGGATTCGTTGGAGGGTCTAAATCAGTAACCTTGACGTGCAATCAAATAGGATTGCATTGTAAGCAGAACAAAGAGATAAAATTATTTCAAGTCTAGACATACTAATAAGCAAAAACCTGCAGGGATCTTAGATTAAAGATAACATGCGAATAGAGTTAAAAATACCTTCAGCTGTTCAGGAACAAATTTTTTTTAAGTCAAACCTTTTTTTGCAATTGAGCAAAATCTTATGAACATAACACCAAATGGATGGTGGGTATCTTGGCTTGGGACAGCAGGCAAATGGCAATGAGCATAACAACCACCTTAAAGTAGCTTAAAATGCAGCAAATCCAAACCTACAAGAAACAGAGACAGAAATGTGTTTACCCAAATGCTTTTACCCCTAGAACTATTTCTCTATATGTTGAAAACATTCATATGGTTGAATTTCCTGAACAGAGGAACTATTTTACTATAGATAATAGATGTTGCATTTAATGAAATCAAAGACCATTGCAGAGGCCTTAAAGACACAATAGAAAATCTGCATCATTGATGAGGACCACTATAAAACTATCAATTCCATAAAACATTACTATGTAATTAAACTTTTGTCTTTTGCTGTCTACCTTTGTCTTACTTCATTCATCTCACAGCAAAGGCTATGACATCCAAAAAATTTAAAAATTTTGGCAAAGTTTCCTCTAATAACAAAACCCCGAAAACATTTAAACCTGCATACACATTTTTCTAGTTTCATAACCACACCCTAAAAGAGAGAATTAATACAATGATAAGAGGGGAAGAAAGGAAGATACTTTTAAGAAACAAAAACAAACACTATCACGTGTTTAATATCATCATCAACCACTGACCAAAAGTGGTAATAAGATTCAACTAACATGTTCAGCTAATTACCCCAAAAAACAGAAGCATGAGCTTCAGCTACTAAAAATAAACATGGCATGAGCTTCAACCACGTTAACTCATGTTTCTTCAGTTTCTATTGCACGCTGCCAAATTTTCCTGAAATCGTATTGGCATGAATGGTAGAAACATCTTTTTAGGAATTGTTCCATACATAACTACTGGATCAGTTTTGTTAATCCTGTAAGGTTAATAAGCACACAATCAGAATTTTAATGCCATGGTGAGAAGTTAAATTGAGAGAAAAATCAACCCACAACTGTGGACTTATCTTTATTGATATCAAATTCAAAACCAGCTGCATCTCTAAATCCTTCCAAATTCTTGAAGGGACTTTCATCTTCTCTACATGTCCTTGTTATGGCTGCAGCACCTTAGACCCATTGTCGTTGAAATGAGAACAAAAAGAGGACAAATCCAAATTTGCTATGGATAACACCAAGGAAGAATGGATACGAACACAGGGATACAACAAAATCTCAAAGTTTAGGACGGGTATGGTGAGAATGCGGCTAATTAAAATAATATAATATATTTTTATATATATAATAACATTAATAATAAAATTGAATAATTAATTAATATTGTATAATTGGACAAATGAGCTTATACTAAATTTGATAAATGGGCTAATATGTTATGGGCAGTGGGCTAAATCAAATTGGGTAGTGGGTGACAACAAATAAGGTACGATTATACTTTAACATAAAATATAATAAGTCCAAAGGTTACTTGTACATTGTAATTTAGCAACTAAGGCAAATAAAAGAAGAAAAGAAAACAATAGGAGCTGAAAAACAATTAGGGCAAGCCCTTGTTGAAAAGCAAAAAAAAAAAAGACGTTGCTTTTCAAAAACTAGCAAGCCGCAGGGGAGCAAACTCACATGTCGATAAAAATGGCAGAAATCTCATATGCAGGCATCAGAGAGATAGAGAGAGTGGCTGAAGAGAGTTCTGAAGACGATATACCTGCTTGAAGAGGTGGAGATCTGTGGCAATGGCAGTGGCTGATAATATTTGTATTGTCTTCTTCCTTTTTTTTTTTTTTTGGGTTTCAAAATAGATCCATGGTTGTGACCATATCCCACCGTATTAATCCCGTATCCGAGCCATATCAATCAACATCAAATGCTTCTTCACTGTTCAAGAAACTTGTGAAAGTGTCAGACACATGTCCAGCTGTGTCCCACATGTATCCGTGTCGAACACGTATTCGACAACATCGACCCCCCCCCCCCCCCTTGAGGAGTATCCATGCTTCCTAGGATAACACTTTTCTATCCAAATTGAGCATAAAAGGTACAATCATTTTGTCTCTAAATAATCTAAAGTTATTTTTTCCAGCTTTGGGCAGCCAAACACGGCTACTAAAATTCTCGAAAATTAAATTTAACAAAAAAATCAACTAAACATTTGGTGTTATTCTAATACACTCACATAGCCAACCAATAAATAACTACAACCTCAAAACCATAAAACAAAGAACCATCCAATTATGCGCCTAATACCAAACAACAACAAAACCCCCAACAATCCTAATATGAACACGAGACATTCTTACATAAACACAATTATTTTAAAGCATTAAATCATGCCAAATACCAAAAGTGACATTATTCATTCCATTCAAAAATCCAAAAGTTTGTATAAAAAACTATTGAGAGTATTCCCATCTTATTGTCACTATGTTACATGGTTGTAATAAGTATATATCTCTAAGGGTATATTAGTCTTTTATGCTTTCATTAGGTAACTATAAATATATAAGTTAAGAGTGAGAGGTATTTTTCAATGACAAAACTCCTCTCTCCCTCTCTTATTATTATTTTCTCTTCATTCTCTAAACTTAACATAGTATCAGAGCAAGGTTGAATTCAAATTTGATCTCAAATTTGCTTTTGGTATTGAATATTTGAGCCCCACACACGTCCTCTTTTCTTTTTCTTTTTCTTCGTATTTCCTTTTATGGTGTTACTGGTGCAAACCATGACCATGGGATTTGTGGCCATCGTTCTATTCATGGGTTTGAA